TCGGCTGGTCATGCCAGGCCCTGTGCGTAATATTGTATATGCACACGTGTGTTGTATTTTAATGTATATTTTGGCCTTGGCCGTCCCTAACTTATGTGTATTCTAACTTTTGGATTGAATACCTTGCCTAGAGTCTTACGCCAGAAGGCGGTGGCTCATGGGCCAATCTGGTACTTTCGACCTCTGAGTTCTGTATGTCTTCAATTTCTTGTCATGGGCCGGACCAGCCTGGCATTTTATTTGTTAGACAAATGCAGCTATTCATGTTGTTTTTACTGGAGTATAACACCTCTGTATCCCTGATGTTTGCATGTTGGAGATCCGGTGCAGGAAAACATCGCTCTTTGTAGCACTCCATGGTGGGTGGGGAGCAGGGGTGCTGAATCAATTACTATCATTATGGCACACAATCATTCTGGTTCAAACCGCACTGACAAGAAGAGACGTCTGGAAGCTGAGATTTTCTCATCTGACGACGATGCTTCTATTTCACGAACTTCAAATTCTTGGGCTCGGTTTATCGTAGTGGAATCACATAATCAACTACCTTTGAAAATCAATCCCTTTGCAATATCTAAAGCCATTGAAGGTATCTGTGGTGAGGTGAAGAATGTTTCACGGCTCCGGGGCGGCTCTCTTTTGGTGGAGTGTGCACGGAGACAGCAGGCTATTAATCTTTTAAAATGTACTAGCTTTGCTAACACAGAAGTTGTTGTTTCTGAACACAGAACGTTGAATTCGAGTCGAGGGATCATCCGCGACAGAGCTCGTTGCCTGGCTGAAATGTCAGAAGATGACATTTTGGAAGAACTTAAATCACAGAATGTCACATCAGTGAAACGTTTCAATAGAAAAGATGGTGAAAATTTCATTCCAACAAATACTTATTTGTTCTCCTTTTCTCTTTCAACAATTCCACAATCTATTAAGGCAGGCTATTTTAACATCGGAGTGGAGGTGTATGTCCCCAATCCACTCCGGTGTTACAAATGTCAGAAGTTTGGGCACGGCTCCAAATCATGTGATCGTCCGACTGTTTGCCACCGTTGTGGTGGAAATCATGATGGTTCAGGCTGTACAGCAGACCTGAAATGTACAAATTGTAAGGGTCAACATGTAGCGTCATCAAAATCCTGTCCTTTTTGGACACGTGAAAAAGACATTTTGACAATCAGATGTCAAAACAACGTCAGTTACTTTGATGCGAAAAAACTCTATGATAGCCGGACACCTTCATCCAAACAATCTTATGCTGCTGCTGCTGCTGTCTCTCGCCCTTCAACCAGTAGATCTATAGAATGTCAGACGGACTTGACGTGGACACATTCTGAACACCCGCTGCCTCTGACAACATCATGTGACAGTCAAACAACTCATTCTGTCAGCCCAGGTGAAATGTCTTCAGATTCTATCATTGTGACTCAGGTTGTGGCCCCATCTACACCCACTCCTGATAAACCAGCTACCAACAAACCATCAACTGAAATGCCAAAAAAACAAAAGAAGAAACAAAACAAGAAAATTTCTACAAAGATCCCTACTCTCACTGAAACATCTGTAGATGTTCACAATTACTTTGAGCCTCTTGAGATGGATGTCACCCCATCTTCACACCACAGCAGTGGTGACTCCTCTTCACGTTTACGTGAACGATCTCCGGTAGAACCACCATGAATCATTCGAATCTAATTCAATGGAATTGCCGAGGACTTAGGCACAATTTTAACGAACTGCAATTATTATCAACGGATATTTGTCCATCAGCAATTTCTTTACAAGAAACGTACCTTAAAACAACCGACACATTTGATTTAAGGCAGTATAGTTCGTATCATTCCTTCTCTCCTCCGGGAGATAAAGCTACTGGAGGAGCTTCTATTTTGGTGCGGCGGGGCGTTGTTCACAGTCCTGTTCCGCTTGACACGAATATGCAAGCTGTTGCAGTTAGACTTACACTGCATATTGCCTTCACACTTTGCTCCTTATACATTCCTCCATCTTCAAATCTTCAGCGTAATGATCTACAAAAACTGTACGACCAGCTCCCAAAGCCCTGTGTCATCATGGGTGATCTAAATGGACATAATCCTTTATGGGGAGGTTCTATCATTAATCAAAAGGGTAAAGTCATCGAGGATTTTGTTTCTGATAATGACCTCTGCATCTTTAACGATGACTCGGACACCTACTTACACCCTGCAACTGGTACGTATTCATCATTAGATCTGTCTTTGACGGATTCAGTGTTGTTGAATGAATTCTCATGGACCGTCCATGATGACCTATGTGGGAGTGACCATTTCCCCACCGTGCTTAAACCCATTCATCCCGTTGATGATCCACCTTCACCTCGATGGAATTTTGTGAAGGCTGATTGGCTTTTATTTCAATCTTTATGCAAAGATAAATTACAACCTACGTCTTTTCAGAATGTTATTGACCCCATTCAGTTGTTCTCAGATCAACTGAATGAAATTGCTGATGAATCAATACCTAAGTCCTCGATCAACCCACGTGTTCGTAAACCGTGGTTTGATGACACTTGCAAACACGCTAGGAAATGTCGTAAGAAGGCGGAGAAATACTTCCATAAACATCCCACTGTCCATAACTTGAACATCGTCAAAATTTCAAATGCTAAGGCGAGACGTCTTTTTAAACAAAATAAACGTCAATCCTGGCAGAATTATGTCTCAAAAATTAACTCTCGTACCCCCATGTCCAAGGTATGGAACATGATCAAAAAGATCAAAGGCAAGGGATCAAATTCTACAGTAAACCATCTAAAGGATGGCGATACTTTGCTAACGACTAAATCTGATATTGCCAATAGACTTGGGAAAACGTTATCTCAACATTCTTCTTCATCTAATTACGCTCCTGAATTTCAAAAGTATCAACTCCAACAGGAAAAGAAAAAAGTAAATTTTACATCTGATAATGGTGAAGATTACAATGAGGTATTTTCACTACATGAGCTACATACTGCCTTAGGGCAAGCTCATGATACAGCAGCAGGCGCTGATAATATTCATTATCAGCTACTGAAACACTTGCCAGAATCATGCCTTGAAACTTTGTTGACTATATTTGATGACATTTGGACATCTGGGACGTTTCCACCTTCATGGCATAATGCCATTGTTATACCAATACCCAAACCTGGGCGGGATCATTCTGATCCATCAAATTACCGCCCTATCTCTTTAACTAGCTGTGTTTGTAAAACGATGGAACGCATCGTAAATAATCGATTAGTGTGGTACTTGGAAACAAATAATCTTCTTACCAATATACAATGTGGTTTCCGGAAGAACAGAAGTACTATCGATCATTTAGTGCGTTTAGAATCGTTCATTAAAAATTCCATTGTAAATAGACAACATGCTGTATCGATCTTTTTCGATTTAGAAAAAGCTTACGATACAACATGGAAACATGGTATTTTAAAAGATTTACATGACTTTGGTTTAAGAGGCCGTTTGCCTCATTTTATATCGCAATTTTTAACTGACAGACAATTTCAAGTTCGTGTTGGATCAACCCTGTCTGATCATTATAATCAGGATCAGGGTGTTCCACAGGGCAGTATTTTGTCTGTCACATTGTTCAGTATAAAAATAAATAGTTTATCAAAAGTATTAAATGATTCAATTGATGGGTCATTGTTTGTGGATGATTTCAATATATCATGTCGTGGTAAAAATATGCGTACTATTGAACGCCAATTACAATTATGTCTTAATAAAATTCATAAATGGTGTCTTGAGAATGGCTTTAAGTTCTCACAGAGGAAGACCAATTGTATACATTTCTGTCGGAAATATAAACCCCATAAAGACCCTGAACTCTTTTTAGATGGCACTCCAATCAAGATTGTAAAAGAAGCCAAATTTTTAGGATTAATTTTCGACCATCATTTAACCTTTTTGCCACATATTACTTATCTGAAGACCAAATGCCTGAAGGCCCTAGATTTGTTAAAAGTCGTTTCAAATTCAAAGTGGGGAGGGGATCAGAAAACCCTCCTTCACTTATATCGATCATTGATCCGTTCTAAATTGGACTATGGCTCCATTGTGTATGCTGGAGCTTGCAAGAGCAATTTAAAAAAGCTGGATTCAATTCACCATCAAGGACTACGTCTATGTCTTGGTGCTTTTCGAACTTCTCCGGTTGACAGCCTCTATGTGGAGGCTGATGAACCTTCTTTAAAACAACGCCGTACTAAATTGTCTCTTCAATATATTTCTAAATTACGTTCGAACCCCTCTAATCCTGCTTATGCCTCTGTATTCTACCCCCTATATGAAAATATATTTCTGAAGAAACCGAAGCTGGTTCCTCCACTTGGGATTCGGCTCAAATCCAATATTACTGCTGCAAATCTTGATCTGGATCTTATCTCTCCTTCTCGGCTTTTGTCTACTCCTCCCTGGCAGTTGGTGAGGCCAGAAGTAGACATTTCACTGACACGCTTTCTCAAGTCTGAAACAAATCAACTGGTTTATCATCAGGAATATTTACAATTAAGAAACAAATATGACACTCACCGTTCAATCTTTACTGATGGATCCAAGGGTGGTGGCAAAGTAGCAAGTGCCACTGTCGTTGGATCACAAACCATATCATTTAGAATACCTGACAATAGCTCTATTTTCACTGCTGAGGCCAATGCTATCCTTACAGCTTTGATATATATTAAACACCAGTCTTCATGTAAACAGTTTATCATCTTTTCTGCTCCCCTTTCTTGCCTTCAGGCACTGCATAATGTATCTTCCACTCATCCACTGATTTTAGATGTTTTAGAACTTTACAATGATCTTTCAACTGGCCAATACGACATCGTCTTTTGTTGGTTACCGAGTCATATGGGCATCACAGGTAACACAATGGCTGATGCTGCTGCTAAAGCAGCACTCAACGAATCTGTGACACCACTTCTGCTTCCATACAGCGATTATAAACCTGTAATAAGAAACTACATCAGAGATATAATGCAGCAGAAGTGGGACACCCAAGTAGGTATTAATAAATTACATGCTATAAAACCAACCATCGGTTACACCTACTTGGGTTGTCAGTCCAGATTTGAAGAGGTCATTGTACGACGATGTCGTATTGGCCACTCGCGATACACACATGAATATTTGTTAAAAGGTGAAGATCCTCCGTTCTGTATCCCTTGTGATGAGAGAATCACGGTCAAGCATGTCCTGCTTGACTGTCTTGATTTTTCCATCACAAGGGATAAGTATTTCAAAGTTTCATCGTTAAAGGATCTTTTTAATCATATTAATTCTCATTTAATTCTTGGTTTTTTAAAAGAAATAGAATTGCTTGATAAATTTTGATATGTACATGTATTGTAAAAAGTATGTGATTTTAATTTGGTAGAATGACGTAATAACTGAGTTTGTTAGTGGCTGTACCTTCAAAGGGGGTTGAAGTAACGTAAAATAATTGTCCCCCTGAGAAGGTATGTAAGTCCCATTTCATTCAAAGTATTTTTCATTTTCCATGTTTTTAATCGTAGAATTCTTGTTGTTTTTAAATGTTTTGGCTTAAACTTGCCGACAATCACCAGTAGCCGGAGGGATGGTGTAAATCCTGCTGGGTTACCATGTAGGTAGCAGAAGTATCGTAAGTCCCCATGGTACCTAGTATGGTGACCTACCTTTGGCTATTGGTGATCTAAAGCCCATTTTTATTGTGTACTGTTTTGAATTGTTATGAATTTTATTCTGATATGCTAGTTTTACAATCTACATCTGTGATAGTCTAGTGTTTTTACTGTCCTTTGTCGACAGATTTTATTGTCACTATGTATTAATATATAACTTGATTTAGTCACGTTATGGCTGAAATATTGCCCATGTGACTTAAAACTTAACTCACTCACTCACTCACCCTGTCAGGTCTACAGGAGAATCCTCATCTTAATCCAATGTTACATTAATCCAATCACACACCAAATAGAACTGCTTATTAGCGCTGAGTACTGTACTTCCGCTACAACAATGCATGCGCGCTGGCTCGTGTCGGTCTTTGAGTGAGTGAGTGAGTGAGTGAGTTAAAGCTTAACGTCACATCGGCAATATTTCAGCCATATCGTGACGAAACAAAATTGACATTAACAATATATAGTAAGTAGTACAAAATTCTGCCGACGAAGGGCAGTATAAAAACTAGCATAGCACAGATTGTCGTAAAACTAGTTTGAATATGTTAAAAGAGGTAACTAACAGAATCATTTGACAACACATTATAAAAACGGGCTATAGATCGCCACCAACTGAAGGTTGATCACCGCGCTGGGGACCATGGGGACTTACAGTACTTTTGCTGTCGGTCTTTGAAAGTCACCGTGTTGCGTGGGTGGCGTCTGTCTGGACTTGCAGGTGTGAACAGTGATGACATAAGTGAGTAGAACTCTTTTCATGACCCCAGGAGTGACAATTCACAGGATGTAATTAGTGTTTGAATGACATTGTTTACAGTGATGTGGAAAACATAGTTGTTTGTTTTCAGCGTATGTCTTAGTTGGTATTTCTGCTGTCCAAAATGTCTTATAGTTGATAAACATGCAATGTTTAATAATGCGAGCCAAGACCACTCGCATTTTTCGCATTTAATTAACGCTCGCGTTAATTTGAAGATTTAAAGTTTATTAGGATCCAGGGAAAGTGCAGATACAAAATATTAGTTTCCGTTAAAGCTTAAGATAAATACTAGCCTAAGGTAACATGAACCATCTCTCAGAAAAACTATTCAAAAAGACAAAAGTTGTATCTGCATAGTTTAATAGATTGGTTGAAACTTTTATTTAAGTTAACGACCCGTTAAGATCAGGTGAGAACAGGTCTTCAGCAACCCATGCATGTCGTGAAACTCAGCTTGTTGTCCGTGTCATCGTGTCCCATTTGCGTGGATCGATGTTCATGATGTCAATCACCGGATTGTCTGGTCCAGACTTGATTATTTACAGACCGCCGTCATTTTGCTGGAATATTGCTGAGTGCAGCGTTAAACAACAGACAAACAAACAAAATTTATGTAAATCTGTCATATATGTATTAGGCCTTGTACACAATCTATTATTTTAGGCAAGTCTAGCTACATCTGTCTTAAAGGCACTGCTTGGAGACTGCTCATTATTTCAGCAAATCTTAGCCGAGCTCATTAAAAACTGCCCGTCTAGATTAGTATATACTTATTCACACACATATCAGAGCTCGCTAAATACACTGTTTATTCCCAATGCAGGATATTTACCATCCCAAAACACACTCGCGTGATATATGTATATATACAAAGACCGTCAGTGTAACAAAGTGTAACACACCTCGATGTCGAACTTGCTCAATAATAATTGAAGACTGCAAATTTCAATTTTGCCAAGATAAACTATTTACTGTAAAAAAACCAGCATGAAATGTCGCAGTTAAGATGTTATTCATGTTTTTTTAACATGTGCGGGATGTGGTGAGCATAACATTGGAGAAACTGGTATGCAACTGAAAGACTGAATCACTGTACAGATTCGCGATCCAAATGTGCGTTGTGTACATTGATGAATGCGGGAGTGGTCATTCCACTGTCTTTCCGTTTTAAAAATTGTCTAATAATGACAGTAGTATAGTCTAAGTCCGCAGAAGGCCATTTTGGTTGATCCGGTTGATCCAGGCGGATGCGAAGGTGATTGGCTGATCCAAGTCACGTGATCGGATAGGATGACTCATGCATCAACAGCGCGGGCGGGGAATGAAAGGTGTGTGTTTATAAGACAGAAAAGAATTCGTAAGTAAACAAAAGTAAAGGGTATTCAATAGAGCTATGCGTTTGGCATGCTGCCCTGAATAGACAAGCAGCCCAGTTTGAATTGAGCGCGCTTGACAACTCACGTGACCACGTACATCACGAACGTTAGACAACCCCTATAGAAAAGAAATATAGACAAAATAGATAAGACTACGCAATCAGCAAGCTAGCGGTGTCGTTTAATTACGTTTAGCGCGCAACAACGAGGTAGTCACGTCACCCTGCATTGACTATAACCCTGAAGGCAGCCTATATAAACACCACCCCGAATATCAGAGCGTCATTTCAGTTTGAACAGTCAGCAAGGAAACATGGATTCATCAAACGGGTAAGTGTATTTCTTAATGACTTATTTCGTTTATATTAAATGAGAATACTATACAGCTTACACATGTTTCAGGCTAGGTGAAAAGGTATGTGTTAGTAAAAGTGATTATGAGTAACTCTCATTACCAACTTTATGAAGAAAACAATGTTGTATCTCTAGCGAGAATTGAAAGGAATGTTTTGTCTTTCAGACCATTCACCTGTCCTGTGTGCGGAAACTTATATTCCTCTCAAAGGAATGTGAACCGCCACAGGAGGTCTGTTCACGAAGGGCAGCGCTTTGCTTGCGAGAAATGCTCCAGAAGTTTTGCATCAAATCAAAGACTTAACAAGCACAAGTGCGCTGCCTGCTCGCAACACCGGCTTTCGGAATACCGTTGTAGCGTAAGTTTATTTTCGTGAATGTAAGGGTTATTTCATTAGATTTAAGCGAATATGTGTGGGACTTTTATTTATCTTCCTATGCTTTTAAAAGGTAATTTCATTTAAACACATGTGGTTCATTCTATGTTGAAAACAAGGACATCGTGTTATGTTAGTACGAGTATTACTAAACTCGTACAGTCCCTTTAAGAACACTGCTTTATTTCTACATACAGAAATGCCGCGAGGTGCTCCCCTCTCCCCGTGACTTGGCCGTGCATTTTCGACGGTGTCATTCTAGCGGTAAGTTGAATGTTCATAATGCCATCTGAAGTAAAAGTGTGAAAGACATGGGTTATTGTATTGAAAACATCACATTCGTGACTTCGAGCTTATCATTTCACTCGAATAAAATATGCTCAGATGCTATAGATTGAACATATCTTTTTTCTCCACAGGCGCAACACAGACGTCGCGTCATGACGCACGGCCGTCTACCTCTAGAGCAGTACCGGTTAGTGGAGGTGAGTTCTATTTTGTATCTATCTATCACTTCATTCATCCATGTACGAGTGTTAGTATTAAGGAGGTTCATACCGCATAGGGTTTCACTATATGTGTGTCGTGTGTTTGTAGATAGCATTGACTGGGATGTTTTCAGTAAACTGTTTTGTATTTCAGGGACAACCTCAACAAACCAGCCTACACCGTCCACCTCCTCGGGGCAGGTTGCAAGGGCGGGAAACTCTCGTGCTAGTGGAGGTAGATATTGAATAGTATTTTATAAGCTATGGGTTTTAGCTAGCCCTGAATTATATGTATTAATTCAATCCGTCATGGTGTTCATATGTATTTGCTTTGGAAGTATTGTACAATATGTTAGTCATGATATTTATTTGAAGCATAAGAGCTCGTAGTGAGTGAGTGAACGATGCTGTTATAGGCGAGCCCAGTATTCATACATTAAATTTTATTCTATCACCAGCTCCCTCATCGTCCCGCATCGCAGCATCGGATGGTTGTACTACCTGCCGGACGTGTCATAGGCGTTTCGAGGATCGGTTGTCTCTCTACCGTCATCAGATGATAGAGGGACACCGTGTCCTACCATCGCAACCGGCGGGAGTATGGATACCGATGCTGTTGGTAGTGAGCTCCAACCACGCCCATGGGGAGAAGGTCCCGCCCCGTGGGTAGAGGAGAGCACTGGCGAGGTGACGGAGCCCGGACTCCAGGAAGCCTATCACTCGGACGCTCCCTACATCCTCGCACGGGACCAACCAGGGGAGGTGTTTTCTACCTACAACCTCCCCGTCAGCAACAACTTTTCGATAGGTGCGTTGATGGAATGCGCTAGGGAAATCTATCAATCGTTAAGTTATAGTTTTAGGTTCAATCTAGCGTTCGGTGTCATCCTGCGTCACGTGGAGACGGGACGCTATCGCTATTTCCACCCTTACGCTGTCGATCCGCTCTTTACTACTCCTCTCTATATCACCGAGCTGAGGGATCTCGAACGGTTGCGTCAGAGACTGGAAAGTTTAGATGTGATGTCTTATCTATTGAAACAACGCCCCAAAGCCAAATGGGAACCCGTTTTAATCACGAATGTACAGTTTTATGCGTACAGAATGAATTTTTCTTTAGGCCATCCCCCTGTTGCTCTCCCCGATTATCTGAAACACCACAAAGCTATTATAGCATTAGATTATAACAGAATAACTAAGAAACTTTATGATGATCACCTTTGCTCTTTCCGGTGTCTGGCTCTGTATGGAGATCCATCCGCTCGACGATCACTAGAAAAACCTACCAAAGCTCTTTACTATCAGTGGGTCGCATACTCTCGGGACCATCATCTCCAGTCTTTGTATCAAGTTCGTCCCGAAGAGTACGTGGGTCTCCCCCCTTCTCTCCTGTGTCACTTTGAAGCCTGTTTCCGTGTGAATGTGAGCGTGTTCACTCTAGACGTGACGGGGATAGCTCAACCCGTGTATAAATCTAGAGGGTTGTATCAGGAACACATGTACTTAAATCAATTCGAAAATCACCTATCCCTCATTACCAATATGAGTGAGTGAGTGAATATTGCTTAACGCCCCATCAGGAATTTTGCAGCTATTCGCGGCGAGAAATGTCTTTTTCATAATCAGATATCAACCAATAGAATAAAAGTGATGTCGAAAATCACTAAAATCTCAGTCATATATCACATTCAGAGGTAAAAAACTGACTGTTCAGGTAAAACATTTCCAATATGAACATCTATTGTAAACGCTACCAGTGTCCCACGTGCGAACGTCTCTTCCGGCGCCAAAACAACTGCAACGTACACCAACGTCGTTGCATGGGTCAAACGACTTTGCGGTTCTCGGGTGGTTTCCACCACACCCCAAAGACCGTGTTTGACTGCGTACTGCGATTCTATATACCGCATAACATTCACACAAACAACACGAGACTTCCATTCTATCGATTCAGTGTTTATTACTAACAGCTCGATCGTTATGGTGATACATAAGACAGTATAGTCATTTTAATACACAGTTTCCAGTGGCGGATGACAAAGTAGACACAATTTATGGACAACAACTTCTTTAAAACTGTAAAGGCGATGTTTCAGTTCAGATCCTTATACCGTTGTCAAGCAAGACATAATGAGGAACATTGTACAGAATATATATAGTGCTGGAGGATTAACAGTTACAATTGCATACATGAGTGGGATAACATGAGTAAGTAATGACAACAGAAGGATAATACTGTAACAACATTATGGACAGAGAACACATAGGTGGAAGCCAATGGGACATGAAGCCAATTAAAGAGTGAGTGAGTATGGTTTTACGCCGCTTTTAGCAATATTCCAGCAATATCACGGCGGGGGACACCAGAAATGGGTTTCACACATTGTACCCATGTGGGGATTCGAACCCGGGTCTTCGGAGTGACGAGCGAATGAAGCCAATTAAACAGGATAGGTTACATGTAAGCCATTGGCTTCCACCTATGTGTTCTCTGTCCCTCATGTTGTTACAGTGTCCACCAATGTGTTTTCTATCCATCATGTTGTTACAGTATTATCCTTCTGTTACTCATGTTATCCCACTCATGTATGAAATTGTTGTTACTGTTCGTCCTCCACCTTCTATATATATTCTGTACAATGTTCCTCACAACTGAAAACAATGGAACAGGACAGTAAAAACATTTAAATAGTAAAAAATAACGTGTTCATTAGTGCATGTACACATACCAGTTGCATGGTTGTAAGTGCCACTTTCAACTATTTCACAACATGTTTCCTTGTACATAATTATTACTGATTATAGAATAAAATATATCTCCCATCCACTCAAATCTACATTTGTGCTTGTTGGATTTTAATAAATTACCATAACTGTTTAGTTGTACACATAATGTACATGAGGTGCATACAGAGAGCCGGCAGTGTCCAGGGTTTTCATAACTTTGACATGTCATCAGATATTAAACAATCACAGCCTTTGTCACACATTTGGTTACAAGGCTTGTTCAGCTTTGTTATGCACTGTCGGCAATCGGATCATGTTTCTTCCGAGAAACTAGAATATAACAACAGTTTGTTTCCATATGTAGAATCTACATGTATAACATCCAGTCGTGAAATACACTGTACTCATTTACACTAATAAGTTTATTTTTTTTGCGCATGCATTTTGAATCATCATCCACGATCAGTGTTACATAGATCTACATGTACCATGCCACTATGAAATAATTCTCACCACCATCATTACATAATGTGTTGAACATCAGCAATGAATATCTGCATATGAAGGTAAGGCCAGATCAAATCAATTACTTGTGTTAGTGACAATGTTTTGGGAAATGTCTAGATGAAGGAGGAGAAAAAGAAAGACAAATTTGGTCTAGTGTTCACGAGCAGTGATTCAAATTTTGCAATAGTGTAATTACAGTCACATCAATTAAAAAAAACCTAAAAAATTATGAACTTGGGTTTTCAAAACTAGGACGGGTGGGTGTCGTAAGACAAGGAACTAGTTTGGTCTGGCCTAAATAGAAAATAATAATTATTGCAATGGATTATGGTGATAGAGAACTGGTGTGTCTATCCTCAATCGTTTAAACACATTGCAAATGATTTATAATTCTAAACACACAAAAGTCAAATTGTATAAAATAACAAAGTCCTACTGATCCTTTTGAAAGGCAACTTAAAAGCAATGATAAGTGTTCAGGGTAGTCAACAGTCATCATCAGCTTCTACTCTACCATAATGGATGACAACATGAAAATGACAAAATGTCAAGTGTTGATAACAGTCGTTTTCAGCTTCTACTCTACCATAATGGATGACAACATGAAAATGACAAAAAGTCAATGTTGATAAGCCATTATCTGCTTCTATTCAGCAAGAGAGGAAGGAGATTCAGCAAGAGAGGAAGGAGATTCAGCAAGAGAGGAAGGAGATTCAGCTGTTTTTCTGCTGCATGCAGTGGATGCTGCAGATGCAGTCTTAGTTTCTTCCTTCTTAGGGGTCTCAGGAGCAGGGGTTCCCTCATCCATCGACAGCAGAGCCATGTCATCCCCATCATCAGCAATGGAGAATGGTGTATCAAGAGTTGTCTTTTCTGCCAGTTTCTTCCTCAGAAAATTCTGGTTTCTCTCCAAACCAGTGATCCTCTGTGTGAGGATATCAACTCGATGTTGTAAGTTGGATATTTTGTCCTCAGCAGACTGCATTTCAGAAGCGAACTGCTTCCTAGCCTTTGAAACATGAGAATAACATCTTCCAAGGTGTTGTTGAGCATCACTCATATTGTTCTGTGATAGCTTGAACTGAGCTGCAGACAAAGTAATGTCCACCTCTTCCAAAGTGCCAGATACTAACGATTTAATGTTGGGGAGAATCTGGGCAGATTGGTATCTGGTAAGTTTTGATGGTGTGCCCAGAGGAGAGAGGTTGGTTCCTTGTGAGGGGCGCTTTGTTGGTGTATTCATATTCACTGTATTGGATTACAGGAAGATTCTACAACAAAATGAATCATTAATAGTAAACCTGGAACGTAATCATGTCCTTTATTGGAAAGTGAAAATAAATGAAGGTGAAATATTACACAGCTAATATTCATATCCCTTTGTATTGGATTACAGGAAGATTCTACAACAAAGATGAATCATTAATATTAATAGTAAACCGGTAACGTAATCATTTCCTTTATAGGACAGCTAATTTTAAGCTGAATAATCCAATGCCTGCGTCACATGAACATGCAGAAAATATACTGAAAAACAATTACAATTATCAATGACATATCATCCATGACTTCCTCAACCAGAAAAAGGTAAGTAACAGAAGGATTCATTTTTGTGGTATAGGGATCCACAAATGACAACTGAAAATGGTAGAAAATATTATCAATAGTTTGGAAAGGCATTCTTGAGATATGGATGTCATAATACTCCAAGCACACATGTAGGTGTATCACGTTTACAACATAAGCCATGTAGCTCTCAAATAAAAACTGCATTCCCCATTTATCTTTACAGATGCAAAAACACTTCAGAACATATACATTTATTTTGTGAATATATACTTGTACATGAAATATATTCATGATATGCTAATGCATTGGAGAAGTATGACACCGCTACTAATGTCAGCAACTCTTGTGTACTCAGTTGTGAAAAATAGTACACATAAAAAGGAAGAAACATGCAGAGTTAATCATATGCAGCCTTTTAGCCATAAAAAGGAAGATACGGGTTCAGGTGATTAACCAAAATATGTATTCAAATGTGTATGAAGCATATTAGGGATAATTAGGAAGTATATTGTTCATGCTAGGTTTGTCATTAAAAGATAGACTACAAAGGTGAATTAAGCTTTTTGACAGGAATAAGTGCAGTAATGGATTGTGTGTAACAGTCTACAGGAACCACAGGCTAGGAAAAGGCCACACCATACAACAATAAATATAATCACCATGTTTTTCTTGCTGTTCATGTTACCGGCACCCACTGCGAGGAAGTAGGCTGCTTCGGGTGCCCCTGTTCATGTTACCGGCACCCACTGCGAGGAAGTAGGCTGGTTCGGGTGCCACTGTTCATGTTACTACCATGCACTGTGATGAAGTAGGCTGGTTCGGGTGCCACTTGTAAATTGTGTTTTCACAATAATTCATTATATACCTTGTCAAAGTCCCTTTGTGAAGTGGTATACATCTCAATTAGGTTATTATGGTAACAGTTCTCAGACAGCACTGTGATGAAATAGGCTGGTTCGGGTGCCACTTGTAAATTGTGTTTTCACAATAATTCACCATATACCTTGTCAAAGTCCCTTTGTCAAGTTGTGTACATCTCAATTAGGTTATTATGGTAACAGTTCTCAGACAACCCTGTGTAGTTGTTTCTGTAGAATATGTAAATGAGTTATGCTCTTGCTAAGGAAACATTCATAAAAACTCCCAAACTATCAAAAGGCATGGTTTTCAAGATCTGCTCCGGAATCGAGGACTACCACTATTTTCAGTCTAAGTCAAAGTCGTTGCCATGGTTACTCGAAAAATAATGTTTTCAAAAATCCCACACTATCAGAAGGCACCAGTCCACCCTATCTATGTGCCAAGTTTGGTGAAGAAATATTGTACGGTTTTCAAGATCTGCTCCGGAAACGAGGATTACCACCATTTTCAGTCTAAGTGAAAGTCGTTGCCATGGAAACTAAAAAAATAATGTTTTCAAAAATCCCGAACTATCAAAAGGCACCAGTTCACCACCAGACCTATTATGTGCCAAGTTTGGTGAAGAAATATTGAACGGTTTTCAAGATCTGCTCCGGAAACGAGGATTACTACCATTTTCAGTCTAAGTGAAAGTCGTTGCCATGGAAACTAAAATAATAATGTTTTCAAAAATCCCGAACTATCAAAAGGCACCAGTTCACCACTAGACCTATCTATGTGCCAAGTTTGGTGAAGGAATATTGCAAAAGGCACCAGTTCACCACTAGACCTATCTATGTGCCAAGTTTGGTGAAGAAATATTGTACGGTTCTCAAGATCTGCTCCGGAAACGAGGATTACTACCATTTTCAGTCTAAGTGAAAGTCGTTGCCATGGAAACTAAAAAAATAATGTTTTCAAAAATCCCAAACTATCAAAAGGCACCAGTTCACCACTAGACCTATCTATGTGCCAAGTTTGGTGAGGAAATATTGTACGGTTCTCAAGATCTGCTCCGGAAACGAGGGTTACTACCATTTTCAGTCTAAGTGAAAATCGTTGCCATGGAAACTAAAAAAATAATGTTTTCAAAAATCCCAAACTATCAAAAGGCACCAGTTCACCACTAGACCTATCTTTGTGCCAAGTCTGGTTAAGATATCTCTCACGGTTTTTGTGTTCTGCTCCGGAGTGAGTGAGTGAGTTAAAATTTAACGTCGCATCGGCATTATCTCAGCCATATAGCGACGAGACCAAGCTAATATATATACAATTAAGTCATTTATGCAATGACATATTTAAAAACACTTTATCAAACATATTGGAGCATACTATATTTATAAACAATTGATGAAACATATGAGCATTACAATATCATTAATACAGTTTAAAAAACAGGCTATAGGCCACCAGTAACCAAAGCTAGGCCACCTCGCTGGGGATCATGGGGACTTACAGTACTTCTGCTTCCTGCATGATACCCTAGCAGGATTTACGTCATCACTTTAGCCACTGGTGGTTGTGCACAATACTAGCCAATATTAAAAAATACTCATCAATGAGTTGGCTTAAAACACTGGTTGATGATAGTTACATTAATTACTATAGGATTACGTGTCACACAGGGGGACAATATTTTTACGCTACGTTAACCTCCTGGACAGAGCCTTTAATAATGTCAGTTGCTAATAGCATCACACCAAATTTAAAAACAAGCATTTAATTATTCACATACATATTTAAAATTTATTATACAGACCAATTTCTTTCAAGTAATTTATGATGAGATGCCCGCTGATACGGGAAAAGAGATCTTTTAGATTTACACTTTGATAATGTGAATCCCTTGCGATTGCAAAGTCCATACAGTCAAGCAATATATGCTTAACGGTGAACCTTTCATCACAAGGGATACACTTAGGAGGTTCGTCCTCATCTGTCTTAAGCAGATATTCGTGTGTAAACCGACTGTGGCCAATACGACACCGTCGTAAAACGACCTCGTCATGTCTTGACTGACAACCCAAGTAGGTATGAACGATTGTTGGTTTCAATTCGTGGAGTTTATTGCTTCCTACTTGGGTGTCCCACCTCTTTTGCATAAGATCCCGAGTATAAGATTTGATGGTAGGTTTGAAATCACTGTACGGGATACGAAGTGGAGATAACGGTTTGTCAAGAGCTGCTTTAGCAGCAGCATCGGCTTTTGAGTTACCTGTTATGCCTACATGACTTGGCAACCAGCAAAAGACGATGTCACATTGGCCAGTGGAAAGATCATTATAGAGATCTAAAATGTCAAGGATAATAGGGTGATATGGTGAGACACTTTTAAGTGCCTGAAGGCAAGAAAACGAATCAGAGAAGATGATGAAATTTTTAGATTGGTTTTGTTGTTTAATATAGGTCAAAGCTGTTAGGATAGCTTTGGCCTCAGCAGTAAAAATTGAACTAAAATCTGGGATTCTTGAGGAGACAGTTCTGGATCCAACGACGGTGCCACTTGCAGCTTTGCCACCATCCTTTGACCCGTCTGTAAAAATGGACCTGTGAGAATTATATTCGGTGCGTAATTGGTTATATGATTGTTGATATACCAAAGGATTGGTAGCCGACTTTTTTAGATTGGTTAGAGTGAGGTCTACTTCTGGCTTCACCATCTGCCATGGAGGAGAAGACAGAAGACGATGGGGTGATATAATATTTAAGTCTATTTTAGCTGCAGTGATGTGTGGTTGAATTCTGATCCCAAGTGGTGGAACCAATTTTGATAGATTTCGAAACAGGTTTTCATATTGAGGGTGAAAAACACAATTGAACGCTGGATTAGATTTATTTGAGTGCAATTTAGTGATATATTGCAGTGAAAGTTTAATGCGGCGCAGTTCGAGTGAAGGTTCGTCGGCCTCCACATACAAACTGTCCACGGGAGAGGTCCTAAAAGCTCCAAGACAAAGTCTTAGGCCTTGATGGTGTATAGTGTCCAATTTTTCTAAATTGCTTTTGCAGGCTCCACCATAGACAATGGAACCATAGTCCAGTTTGGAGCGTATTAATGATCTGTACAAGTGAAGGAGGGTGGTCTGATCCCCTCCCCACTCGGAATTTGAAACGACTTTCAACAAGTCGAGAGCCTTCAGGCACGTTGCCTTGAGATATTTAATGTGTGGTAAGAATGTGAGATGGCGGTCAAATATGAGGCCCAGGAATTTGGCCTCCTCTACTACCTTGATAGGAGTACCATCTAAAAATAAATCTGGATCCTTGTGAGGTTTGTATTTACAACAAAAGTGAATACAGTTTGTTTTGGATTTAGAAAATTTAAAGCCGTTTTCGTTTGTCTTAACAAAATTCAAAAATGGGCAGAGCTGTAGCTGTCTTTCTATTGTATTCATATTCTTACCAAGACAAGAAATGTTGAAATCGTCCACAAAAAGTGAACCATCAATGCTATTGTTTAATACTTTAGTGAGACTATTTATTTTGATGCTGAAAAGGGTGACTGATAGTATGCTGCCTTGAGGGACGCCCTGATCTTGATCAAAATGATCAGACAGGGTAGAGCCCACTCGTACTTGAAATTGTCTGTTGTTTAAAAATTGAGATATGAACTGAGGTAATCTGCCCCTCAATCCAAATTCATGCAAATCTTTTAAAATACCATGTTTCCACGTTGTATCATATGCTTTCTCTAGATCGAAAAAGATTGATACAGTATGTTGTTTGTTGACAATGGAATTTTTTATAAACGATTCTAAACGCACCAAATGGTCAATGGTACTTCTGTTTTTTCGGAAACCACACTGGATGTCACTCAGGAGGTTATTGGTCTCCAGGTACCAGACTAATCGATTGTTGACCATGCGCTCTATGGTTTTACAAACACAGCTAGTTAATGATATTGGACGGTAGTTGGATGGATCTGTATGATCCCGTCCTGGCTTTGGAATAATAGCATTGTGCCACGAAGAAGGGAAATTTCCGGTTGTCCATATTTCATCAAATATACTAAGTAACGTTTCCAAACATGAATCGGGCAAGTGTTTCAGGAGCTGATAGTGGATGTTGTCGGCTCCTGCTGCAGTGTCATGAGATTGCCCTAGGGCAGTATATAATTCATGGAGTGAAAATGTTTCATTATAGTCCTCACCATTATCAGAGTTAAAATTGACTTTTTTCATTTCCTGCTGTTTTTGAAACCTCTGAAATTGAGGATTATAGTTTGATGATGAGGAATGATTTGCCAAAGTGTCACCAAGTTTGTTGGCAATTTCGGATTTAGTAGTTAAAAGGGTATTACCATCTTTAAGATGGTGAACTCCAGATTTAGATCCTTTGCCCTTAATCTTTTGAACCATGTTCCACACCTTGGACATAGGTGTGCGGGAATTAATTTTTGAAACATAGTTCTTCCAGGATTCACGTTTATTCTGTTTAAAGGTACGTCTCGCTTTAGCGCCTGTGATTTTAACATTATTCAAATTGTGGACAGTTGGATGTCGTCGAAAATATTTTTCAGCTTTCTTCCTATTTTTCCTAGCTTGTTTACAATTATTATCAAACCATGGTTTACGTATATGAGGGTTTGCAGAGGACTTAGGAATGCTTTCGTCTCCAATAGCATTCAATATATCTGAAAAAAGTTGTATAGGATCAGGAACATTCCTGAAACTTTCGGGTTTTAGTTTTTCAGAACATAGTGTTTGGAATAAAGACCAATCGGCCCTTGTAAAGTTCCACCTTGTTGAAGGTGGTTCGTCAGACGGATTTATAGTTGTAAGTATTGTTGGAAAATGGTCACTTCCACAAAGGTCATCATGGACCGACCATTCGAATTCATTTAAAATGTTTGAATCTGTCAGTGAAAGGTCAAGGGCAGAGTATGTGCCAGTGGCAGGATGAAGATATGTGGTATTACCATCATTGAAGATACATAAATCATTGTTTGAGATAAAATCTTCAAGGACTTTTCCCTTATTATTTATGTCAGTACTCCCCCATAGGGGATTATGACCGTTTAAATCGTCCATGATGATACAGGGCTTCGGGAGCTGATCGTACAAAGTCTGAAGATCTGATTGACGGATAGTTGAGGAAGGTGGAAGATACAGTGAACACAGTGTAAACACTATGTTCAAAGTAACACGGACAGCAACAGCTTGAAGAGTAGTGTTGAGTGGAACAGGGCTATGGATTATGCTCTGCTTCACCAGGATAGAAGAACCTCCTGTAGCTTTATCACCAGGAGGGGAAAACGAGTGGTAAGAACTGTACTGACGGATATCAAATAAATCTGTGTGTTTCAGATATGTTTCTTAGAGACAAAAAGCTGATGGTTTAAAATCTTGGATCAAAAGTTGTATTTCATTAAAATTCTTCCTAAGACCTCTGCAATTCCATTGTACAATGTGTTGTGGATTCATGGTGGGGCTTCCACAGGAGAAATATCACGCGAACGTGAGGAAGACTTTGTAGTACTCCTATCGGTATCATGTGGAGATGGAGTTACCTCCATGTCCAGAGGACCAAAGGAGTTATGGACCTCTACTGGTACTGGGACCTCTAAAGGAGAGGTGGCCTTTGGTGTTTGCAGCTGTTTTTGCTGCTTCTTTTTCAATAATTTCTTTTCCCTGTTTGTAAGTTTGGTAATTTCTGGTTCTGGTTCTGTTTCGGGTTCATGTGTTGGTTTAGGAGTCTGAGACTCAACATTTTTTACAGTTTTGTTTTTGGGAGGAGTCACAGACGAGGGTGTCACAGCTGGTTTATGGAGTGAAGCAGTCGGAAGTGGCTGAACAGACTTGACCCATGTGAGATCAGTCTGGCAGTCGATAGAGGCAGTAGTGACAGGAGGACGGGAGACAGCAGCAGAGTAAGAGAGAGTGGAAGTGGTTGAGGGAAGACCCACAACCCTCTTCTTAGCTTCGTGGTACGAGACATTTTGTTCTGTCTTGACTTTAATAATTTGGGACTTGCGTTTCCACACAGGACAGGATTTTGCAGAAGCCATATGGTTCCCACCGCAGTTTGCACACTTCACATCCTTCCTGCAGTCAGTGGCCTCGTGTTTGTCACCGCATCGGTAACAAACAGCGGAGGCATGGCAGGACTTGGATCCATGTCCAAACGCTTGGCAGGTGTAGCACCGGAGTGGATTTGGGATATACACCTCCACTCCGATGTTACAATAACCAGCTTTGATAGATTCAGGGATAGTAGTTCGGGCGAAAGTGAAGAGGTAGGTGTTGGTCAGTTGGACCACACCATCCCTCTTTACAGTGAATCGTTTGACAGCTGTGACGGACTGTTGGTCAAGTTCCTTGGCTATATCGTCTTCGGACATGTCGGACAGGCAGCGAGCTCTGTCACTCTGCTCCGGAAACGAAATGTGACGGACGGAAGGACGGACAGATGGCACCCATTCCTATATCCCCCTTCCACTTCGTGGCGGGGGATAATAATATCATACCTGAGTGTGCAGTACTAAAACTGATTCCCAAATGACTGTACACTACTGCTCGCAAATTAGTCACCATTATTAAATACACTACTGAACGAAAGTTTATGACATGAAAATGCAAATACAGTGCTAAAATCATAATAAACTACTGCGCATGCTTTGTTCTGAATGTTAAACTGTTGTAACCACAACATTTAAGCACACCATGTACACTTTTTAGTATTATATCAAACTAACTTACCTTCAGTATAAGTCTGCTTCAGTTGGTTAGTTACCGGATTGTTTTTCCTATTGTCAGCGTTTTACCAGCAGGCATCGTTCCGGCAGGCATATTTCCGGTAGGCGCCTTTATTTCGGAAGACATCGTTCGAGCAGCCATCGTTCCGGTTGTTCCGGCAGTCATCAATCCGCCTGCAGCAACAGCAGCAGGATAAGAGGGAGGAGGTGGGTGGGCCATGTCACTTCCCGTCTGAGGAATACCCGGAATGTCTTGGAGTTCGCATGCCATCTCATAGTCCTCCAAAGCAGATGGAATTTGTTCGCGATCTTCAATCAGTTTTCTAAATACACTGCTCTTCAAGGAAATGGTTTTCCTTTCCTTTTTGCTGTTGTAAGTTTGAAAGATGCACCCAAGCATCATCACGGAACAAGTTGATGGACAGCCAATGGCCAGCAGCCCACTCAAACGTCAGACATTTTCGAGTAAAGTGTCTTCTCCCGAAATGAACAACTAACACGTTATATTTAAACTCACACTTCAAGTAAGGTGATTCAGCATGTTGTCACTTTCTCACGGGAAAAACTACTTCATTATGTTGCCTTGTTCTTTTCAAATGGTGTCAACTTTTACACCCAAATGGTGTATACATTTTACTTCTGACTCACAATACTTTGCTTGTGAGTGATGGTATACGATTTTTAATTAGTACGTTTTCTAGATACTCTCCTGTTTGACCAGACAGCCGCCCTATTGACTTCACAAGGACGAATCCACAAAGTCACCTCTTGTTACTCTCTCATTTTTAATCAATATCGAGTTTTTAGTAACACACTCTCTATACAGCTCTTTCATTAAGTGTATCCCTTTTATGTAGACTTTCATAATGGAACACCTGTGCTTTTAAAGTGTCACGTTTTCAGTACCAACCCATGTTAAACATTTTCTCATAAATATTGTATAGCTTGTGTACTCGGTCAAGGTGATTCAGCAGTTCTTAGTACTACCCTATTATACATCTGTCTTGAAGCAATCTGAAACTGTTTTGAATAGCAGCCAAACCACTCATGTTCATTGTGTGCAGCTGTTTGCACTTAAGTTTGAACTTATATTTCTATAGAACTCCAAAATGTATAGTTTTTGAATAAGAAGTCTGTTCACTTTATATATTTTCACCATTTCCTACTGAGGAATTGCCAAGGCAACATCAACCAAAAGTGTACAGGAAACGTTAACCATTAACTTGCATCCTTAGGCTAGAAATCTTCAGCAAAAGAGAAAGTACTCAACTTTTACTGCATACTTACACTTATACATTTGTTAGATTATTTAAAACTTATACACTTGACATATTATTTAAAACTTAATATCGCGACATAATATTTAAAACTGTTAGTAACCAATTTAATTTAATGCTTAGAAGATGTTCTTTTGTTTGTTTTCAGGTAACTACCAACACATATACACTTAGTTGGTGAATACCTAATATGTCTATGTACACCACGAGTAGAGACTCCTACTGTGAAAATTGTCACACTTGTTTTGGTAATAAAAGAAATTTAACAAGACATCAACACATATGTGGGAAAGTTCGGGCGCAATTTTCATGTCAGTATTGTCGAAAATATTTTTCCTGAAAAGATAGTTTAAAACGTCATGTGAAAAGCTGTCAAAAAGTAGACAATCGTTTCGTTTGCCAATGTTCACTGTGCTTTCAACACTTTGCTTTTCAATCACACTTACCACATTGTCTAAACAGGACTTCACAATATGATTTTTCTTGTCAGATTTGTCATGGAGTTTTCCCAAATTCAAAAGCATTGCAGTTGCATGAGACTAGAACAGGACATGATATTGGGGGCTGCAGCAAAGGCAAGCTAAGTAGGAAAAACATGGCTACAGTATCCATACCTCCTTCCACCCCATCAACACCTCCCATTCCTTCCCCCTACCTCCCACCACCGCCCATTCCTGCCCCTGATGTTTCTCCTTCTTATCCCGAACCTTACTTCATAAACGTGATTTCACAAAATGATGTATCCTGTCTGACTTGTCAGACAATGTTTCCAGATTCAAAAGCATTGCGACTGCATAAGAATAGAACAGGACATGATATGGGGTGGTGGTGGCAAAGGGAAGTTAAGTAGGAAAAAAACGGCCACAATATCTGTACAACCATCCAACCCTTCATTGCCTCCCATTCCCTCCCCACCAGGTACTCCTTCCAATCCTGAACCTGTTGGTGACACTTCTGATCATGCTCGCCCATGTACCAGTGAATCTTTATGAGGAGATGTGAGAGAGTATGAGTTTAAAGGGCAGGGTGCTACAGATGCTTTACATTTTATGGTGAATCAACAAGCTGTCATTATTGATGTGATCAAGGCAGAACTCAGAGAGAAACAGTCAGTGAAATTGGGATTGTGCCTTCACATAAGAATGGTTAAACCTACTTAGGATGAAACAGCTAATTTTCATGAGGCCTACTTTCGAAGCACAATGGTCATAGCTACACAAGGAACCAATTTGGCTGATCAATACCTCGAAGCCATGCACAAGATATTGCATTCACTAGATAATTACCCGGGGGAACATTCTATTTAAACGTGGTAGACATTGCAATGATGAAAGTGATCATCGTTAAATTTAAGCCTTTTAAAGGCGGTACATACATCCCTCTTCCCAAAGAAATTGCACACAAAACTAAAAGCGTTGAGAATGTAGACAACAAAGATGAGATGTGTTTTGTCTATAGTATTTTAGCCAAACTGTTACCCGCTCCACATCATCCAACACGAGTGAAGCATTATCAACCTTTTGTGAACAGATTGAGTGAGTGAGTGAGTTAAGATTTAAAGTCACATCGGCAATATTTCAGCCATATAGTGACTAAATCAAGTTATACAGGAATAATACATTCACATAGATATTAAAATCTGTCAACAAAGGACAGTAAAAGTACTAGTCTATCACAGATATAGATTTAAAACTAGCATGTTATCATAAAAATGTGACTACTCTGAACAATACATTATAAAAATGGGCTAGAGATCACCAGCAACCAAAGTTAGGACACCATACTAGGGACCATGGGGACTTACGGTACATCTGCTTCCTGCATGGGACCCAAGCAGGATTTACACCATCCCTCTGGCTACTGGTGATAGTTAGACAGTTGAAGCCAAAATATTTAAAAATAACAAGCATACTACGATTAAAATCCAGGAAAATGAAACATACTTTGAAGGAAGTGGGACTTACGCACCCTCTCAGGAGGACAATCATTTTACGATACTTCAACCCCCTTTGAAGGTACAGCCACAAACAATCACAGTTATCGAATCATTCTACCAAATTAAAAGCATTTATTTTTACAATACATACAATCAAAATTTATCTATTAACTCAATTTCTTTTAAAAAACCAAGAATTAAATGAGTACTGACATTATTAAAAAGATCCTTTAATGAAGATGAATGATAATATTTATCCCTAGTGAGAGAGAAATCGACACAATCAAGCAAAACATGCTTGACGGTGATTCTCTCATCACAAGGGATACAGAATGGAGGATCTTCAGCTTTTAACAAATATTCGTGTGTATAACGAGAATGGCCAATACGACATCGTCGCATAATGACCTCTTCAAATCTGGACTGACAACCCAAGTAAGTGTAACCGATGGTTTGTTTTAGGGCATGTAGCTTATTTACACCCACTTGGGTGTCCCACTTCTTTTGCATAAGGTCCCTGATGTAACATCTAATAACAGGTTTAATATCACTGTATGGAATAAGAAGTGGGGTCACAGATTTGTTGAGTGCTGCCTTTGCAGCAGTATCAGCCAGTGTGTTACCCACAATGCCGACATGGCTGGGCAACCAACAGAAGACAATGTCGTATTGGCCAGTGGCAAGGTCATTGTACATTTCTAATATATCCAAGATGAATGGATGACCCGAAGACATGTTTTTAATCGCCTGAAGACAGGACAGCGAATCAGAAAATATTATAAATTGTTTGTGGATGGACTGCTGTTGAATGTATTCCAAAGCTGTGAGTATTGCCTTAGATTCGGCTGTGAAGATAGAGCTATTGTCGGGTAATCGGGAAGAGATAGTTGTAGATCCAACAACAGTGGCACTAGAAACATTGCCACCGTCCTTGGATCCGTCGGTGAAAATAGAACGGTGAGAATCATAATTGCTTCTCAACTGTAGGTAATCCTGTTGATAGTGTAAGTCATTAGTTTCTGATTTTTTGTTATTAGCAAGCGTTAGATCCACTGTCGGTCGAACCAATTGCCATGGAGGAGATGATAAAAGTCTGTGTGGAGATACGGTATCAAGTTCTATCCTGGCAGCAGTAATATGGGATTTCATCCGAATCCCAAGAGGTGGAATATGTTTGGGTTTCTTCTGAAACAGTTCTTCATATTGTGGATGAAAAACTGTATCATAAGCAGGATTTGATAGATTTGAACGCAGTTTTGCAATATACTGAAGAGACAATTTTATATGTCGATGGTGAAGAGAAGGCTCATCAGCTTCGACATAAAGGCTAGCAATAGGAGATGTCCTGAAGGCGCCAAGACAGAGTCTCAGGCCTTGATGGTGGACTGTATCTAATTTTTCGAGATTACTCTTACAGGCTCCACCATATACAA